GGGTAACATGGTGCAATATGTAGATGAAACCATCCATTTGCAAGATGATTTTGGAAACAGTCGTAGTTTAAATTTATTTTGTGTATGTTTGAGCAAATGTCAGTGATGACCCACAAATAAGAGTGTCGAACCCAACGAGGAGCAGAAGGAAATGACAAGTAGTTTTCAGTAAGGTAATGTCTGCAAGTGCTGAAATTGTAAGTAGCGAGTAGTTTGATAGCAAGATAATTTGTAACGAACAAGTAACGATAATAGTAACAAGTATGCAGCAAGGTAGCCCAATCCTTTTGAGGCAAAGGACATGCCAAAATGGTTTCTTATGATAAGCAAAGTGTTCTTGAGGGTACACGGAAATTTCATCTAGTCACTTTCATCATGTTGGTTTGATTTGTGTTCACTACTTTGATAATTTGAAGTGTCATGTAGTCGACGTTCACATGACACCACTAAGGGAATCACAACATACATACTATCAAAATATCGAACACATATCAAATTCACATGATTACTTGCAACATGATTTCTCCCGTGACCTCAAGAACAAAAGTAACTACTCATAAACGATAAACATGCTCATGACCAGAGGGGTATTAAATAGCATATTGGATCTGAACATATAATCTTCCACCAAATAAACTATATAGTAATCAACTACATCTAGTCACCCACAAGCACCAATCTATAGTTCCGGTAACAAGATTGAACACAAGAGATGAACTAGGGTTTGAGAGGAGATGGTGCTGTTGAAGATGTTGATGGAGATGGCCCTCCCCAAGATGGGATAGTTGTTGGTGATGATGATGACGATGATTTCCCCCTCTGGGAGGGAAGTTCCCCCGGAGGAATCGCTCCGCCGGAGGGCAAAAGTGCTCCTGCCCAAGTTCCGCCTCGAGGCAGCGGCGCTCCATCCCATAAGCCTTCTCCTTATTTTTTTTCCAGGTCAAAATGACTTATGTACCAGAAGATGGGCACCGGAGGTGGGCCGAGGAGGCCACAACCCACCAGGGCGTGCCTGGGGGCCCTGGCGCGCCCAGGTGGGTTGTGCCCACCTAGTGGCCCCCTCTGGTAGTTATTGGCTCCAATATTTCTTATATATTCCATAAAAAATCCCCGCCAAGTTTTAGCTTATTTGAAGTTGTGCAGAATAGATGGCCTGACATAGCTTTTCCAGGTCCAG